AAAAGTGAATGTGTCTTCAAAATGCAATACAGATGGCGGACTTGATAATACTCAAGTAAACAACTTAGTGGGTTCTTCTGCAGTAACCAAAGCGTTTATTTAAAATTTATGCTTCTGATGGTGATCACATTAAAAACTGCACGAAAATTTACTTATTTAATAGACAGTAATGAAATATTTTTAAAATTTGGTTATATATTGTTGCGTTTTTCTTTTCTTCTGACACCAGTTGTTACGTTATTTTCATCCTTCACGTTCGTGCGGGGTTCGTAGATTTGGAGTGAATAACGACGATACTTGATGAAGTATCCAAACACACTATATTCACCAATATTAATCAGATAACTCCAAAATCACTTGTACAGTCGTCGAACTGTTATAAACACGCTGACACGTTCGGCGACACAGCCTTCACACTGTCAGGCAATAACAGTGGAGACAGCTTCACCGCAAAGCACCCGAGTACAGCTTCCAACTCTGCTTGGCCGTTCTCGGAACTCCACGTACTCTCGAGACTCTCCGTCTAAGACAAAACTCGACGATGCGCTAATTCGCGATGCACTAAAAAGATCTCTCGATGCACTCGACGACCCACTCGGCACTAGACTTCGAGACACTCGCTCAGTGACTGACTATCAGCTCGCTAGACGAGGCACACACACACTGACTGACTGCGGATCAGCAGGATTTATATAGCTTTCGGCTTGTGTTCGAGAACATTCTGGGCTGAAACCGGTAAGAATTCGTTCCAGAAGGTTCTTCATCCGTCCATGGTATATCGCCAATTTTGTCACCAAATGGGCGATTTCTCGCCAAATGTGGCAACCCTGCCTTCCTTTGCCTTTTTATAGCAACCCTAAAACTGCTTTGCGGAGAAGCTATCTCACCGCGCCTGTACATTTCGTAACAATATATTACGAATCAACATGCAGTTAGGGTAAAAATCATAAAGACAGCTTAAATTTCCTTTATTATATGAGCTGCAAAAGGCTTATTATATTTTATTTATTATACAATTTCCTTTATTATTATATGGGCTATAAAATTTGAATTATTATTACATTAAATTATCATTTACACAAAATTTTCAAATAATTATTTCTGATTATAATTAGTTAAGCTAAATATTGCAAAAAGCGAGCTCAGCCTTAAATATTTGGCACGCTGTTAAATGGATGCGTTTGCTAGATTTGACGCTTTTGCGCATACATTTTCGCTGCAATTTTTTTACGGCTCTCAAAACGGAATAGCACCAAAGTTTTTTTTTTTTTTAGAAATTTCAAATTCAAAGTAACTGTTGCAATTCATTGAAGATTGTAAACTGCATAAACCACATTTGGCGTTATTATCGCTTATGACAAATATGCCAACTTTCAAAATAATACATAAATTTACGTTAGACCAAATGAATTTATATATAACAATCTACTTACACATATATTTTGTAGAATCACACTTCTTATCCAGCTCAGTTGTATATGTTTGGTCATTTGGATAAAATTTCTTGTGCACATTAACTTCTTTTAAAAAAAATTCAGAAGTGAATTAAACTACAATAGAAACTCGAATATCTTGCACAAACGGAACCGAATAGTGTTCAGATAATCGGGAAAGCGGAATTGGTTACTTTTGGTTAGTCAACTACAAGCGTTACGTCGTAGCAACAAAAAAGCATTTTATTATGGCACAATAAAATATAAACATAATTAATGTACATTAAAATACGTTCATAGCTTTATTTTTTAATTGTCTGTAAAAAGCAAAATTTTGTCACTGAAAAAATAATAATGGTACATCAATAAGCACAACGCACATAGAAATTGTAAAATAGAAAAGAAATATATTTTGAGTTGTAAATTAATGTGAGGATATGTATTCAATAAAGTTCCGTAAAGTATATAAAGGTTTCCCTCCCAAATCAACGTTATAAAAGAGGAACTGCATTTTTTGTGTGGATAAAATGGAATATTGGATAATCAGGATTTTATTTCATATGTCTATTTTGGATTCACCTTAACAAAAATATCTCCGACTATTATTTAGTAGTCTTTTTAATATTTTGTTTTAAATATACTGTTGCTTAATATGTCATAAATATACTACCTACCTAAGGTACATGGCTGCCTTTACCCCACCCCCGGATGATTCTGTAAAGAAAACTGATTTATCTATGTTAGGCTTTCAGCCGCTCGCAACCGGACTTGCACGAACTACCACCGCTTGCAGCTTCGAATAAGTCATAATTTAAATTGTTTAGGATTAATACTTATTTTTCATAGCCTCGAAAATTCTCAACAGAGAATAAAACTACGCATATCTGTTTCATAGCAAGTATAATCAAAGCGAAATAATTCCCTTGATATAAAATTGACAGTTTGAAATGTCAATTAAAAACTGCACTAAATTTTTGTTTCAGTTAAAATTATCATCAAATCTGGGAACATGTACCTTATAAGACATAAGGTACCTATTCTTAATAACCGTCATCAAAGTAAAAGAGCCTCATTAATATAACGAAAGTAATAAATTAAAATTAGTAGCATTTTTAATCTACATAAAAACAATTACCAAGTATTTATAAAGAAGTCTCTCTTATTGCTAAATTATTTTATTAATTTTAATGAATGATTTCCTTTGCATATTAAATAGTAAAGCTTCCTTTGTTAAGTAAAAACTTCAATAACCAAAGATTCATAAATTTAGATTTTTACAATTCTAAGACCATGAAAAGAAAAAAATAGTGCAATAAACTACTACCAGCAAGTCTCTTCTTTGCTTTGCCCAGCATTCAGACACACTTATGGCGCTCATTGATCTCATTATGTTATAGACTTATAAATTTACGATTTTTATATAATGATAATGCCATTACCTGGGAACCATTAATACCAAATATTCGAATCATAACTGGGTGCATGTTTATACAGACGGGCCATGTAGTGATGATCTAATATCTGCAGGTTAGGGTTTCTTTTTTGCTTTCTATGCCCCTTCTTGAATGAAACAAAATGTACTTGTTGGTGAGGTGGAGGCTCTTAGAATTGCTCTGAAACAATTATTTATATTACATTATAAATTCAAGAATGCTGTCTTACTTTCAAATTCAAGAGGAACAACTCAAGTCATTGGTTCTCTAAAAACCCTAATACCAATAAAAGTCCTTCAATGCCGAGAATCAATGCGAAGCCTATTGTAGAAAAATAAGAAAATTACAATAGAATGGATCCTTGGACACATCGGCATCTATGGAAATGAAGAAGCAGATTTCTTTGCTCGAAAAATGTGCATCACTATTACAATCAAGACACTCAAATGTGTCATATCACTGAATGAAGCTAAATATAAAACGGTCTATGAAGCAAAGACATCATTTGAAATAGTTGGGTAATATTAAAACGAAACAATGAAAGCCTGGAGATCTCGTTTTCCTCCCAGAATATCCACGACATTATATTGTTGCCTTTTTCGGCTACTTAAGGGCCATAATTGCCAGTTCGAACATCTTTACCGAATTAGTATCTATGCTCAACCATTTTCTCTACTCTGTGATCTCATGGAACCCATGAACAGAGCCCACCACCGTCGCTGTGGGACACTTCTTGGTTTTGACGCCGAGACCATCCGATATTGGCGTTCCAGAGACTGTCGTCTTGGACAATGACTTTCGATCACTTCTCTTATGTCCTGTTCTTGAACTTGTGGTATATTACCTTGCCATTAGAAATATAAAAAACTAGAATGATAATACAACTTGCCTCAAATTCTAGAAAAAATAAACGCAAATATATATTACATGATAAGAGTTTTTTTCTAATATCTAGTTTATGTATAGCAAAATGTATCTCAATTTTTGTTGAATTGAAAACAAATTGTTTCCAGTGAAAGGGTTTTTATGATTATTTGCCGTCAGTCAGTTTTAGGTGCATAACATCAATGTATCACGAGAAAAAAATACCTTGTACATTTCTTAAGCGATACTACAAAGGTGTGCAAAAACTTTGCACATATTTATAAACTATTATTCTATTGGCATCTGCCATTAAGTTATAATACGAAACATCATTTTATATTTTTACTGAAAAGTACTCAGGTTTATTTTGACAGGCATTTCTTTAAAATGATACTGCTCCAAAACGTTCAGTGTTCATGTTCAAGATCCAAAATTTTCCTTTACCTAAAATTCTTTTTATTTATAATTTTGATATTTATTAAGCTCTGCTTTTTCTGTCGTTTCCTCATCAATGCGGAGGGAACAATTTCCGTGTCAAGAAAGATGTAAATTTTATTACTAGAAATGAACATGCTGCTTTCATAGGAATACAGATGTTTCATTTAGATGTCGTGAAGACGTCTTTCTTTTAAATTATGGTTCGTGCCTTAGATTTCTGTAAAAATTACTGGTTAGAAGCGTGAGTTAGTGAAAGGAATTGCCGAATTTATTTATCGGTAAAAGAGTTTTAAATTATTTTCTTCGTTGAAAATTTAGCAAGAGCTTTAGTGTTTTGGCTAAAATCTATTAAGTTTTGTGGTTGTTTTTTTTAATTGTTAGATTGTTCCAGTGTTTTTTTACTGCCAGGTGTAACATGGAGTTACATCGGTGAACACCATCTGGAATTATTTGCTCATCTGGAACAGATAGAAGGAGGTAGCCGTAAAAGTAGCGCAACAGTGGCGAAAGAAAAATTAGGCATTTTAATATTATTATTTAATTTAATATTATTTTAATTAATTCCTCCTACAACAAGCTTAACACCAGGCGAAATAGAATTTATTTGTAATTAATTACCTTTAGTGTAATTACAATTAATGTTTAGCAGTAAATAATTTAGCTATTGTTATTATTTTATGTGTTCCTCTAGTTACTTGCAGATTTAACAAGTAGACTGGCGAAAGTTCCTCTATAAAGACTATCAGAGGAGTTAGTGAAGAACAAACGGAATTTTAAATCAGAATTTAGAAAGATACCATTTATTTTATTTATAAGAAACTTGATTCCGAACCTTTGGTTTAAGCTCATCTGGAGGTATCGTCCTAATTTTGACATCAAAATGAGGTTTGGGAGTGGAAGGAGGTTCCTGACTATCACCTTCCTCAGCGCTGCTCTCGGCACTTCCATCCAGATTGGTTCCTATTGGATGGTCTTGTTCCACAGGTTTTCTCTGACGAATGACAACATTCCAGTTTTCTGTAGTTGGCGGAACTCTGCTTTGAGTTTTTGTCTTATCTTTTGCATTCAGGAGTGAAGGTCGGATTTCAGATGACTTTCCTTCAATTTTCTTATGTTCTTCCACAATATCACGTGACACTCTAGTTTTCAGTTCTCTTGATTCAGTTTCTACCGTAGTTGTCAAATATATATCCGCAACATCTCGTATAAGTATACTTTTGGGAGGCTTCTGTAGTACATTATCTTCTCCAGCCGACGTATCTGAAATGCATAAATTTTGTTGAAATTTCAATTTATTAAAATTCATTATCGGTAAAAACAAACAGGTAAATAAAAATTAATTTAGTTATTTGATTTATAATAATAATAATGCATGACATACATATAGGCATCACTGTTCCACAAGGCGGACTTAACAAACATATAAATAATGCAAAAGCGATGAAATTAAATACTATATTTATATTATTTCTAACAAAATAAGCATTTAGAGTAAAGTTTGCTCTTCATTAGCGATCTACACTATCCTAAAGATTGTTAAATTAATAATTTAATTTTAACAATTAGATAAGAAACTCTTGGCGAGTTAATCACGCTTTTTATCCAGTTATCTTCGCGCTCTTGAAGTCGCACGATCATTTTATAAATAATAAAATATTCATATCATCACAAAATTACTCTTGCAGACAATTTATTTTATGAAATAAGTGTGATCATAAATGTCACTTTAGTAAAAAGAAACTATGATACTTGTATAAAAATTAATTTGTCTGGAACTTTGCTACAGTGACTTTGTGGATCCGAGGAAAATATATTTTCTGCATGAGCGACTAAACTTCAGTACAATATAAAGATTAAACTCATATACATACATATAATAAATAAATAACCACAAAGAGCAGTATTATTATTATTAGTTTTAAAATAGATGTTAATTTTAAAAATGGATACAGTCTTCACCAAACACACAAAGAATGAGTATTAAAAGAAAATTGTATACTACAGTGAGAATAATATAGGAGACCGATTCTTAAAAACTATGATTTCAAGCATCCCTTTCGCATGATGTACTACATTTTGCATGATTTCCAACTATTGAATTTTATATTTAATACGTGGTGAGAAAGTTTTTTCACGTATATAAGCTATTTATATTTCATAACATAAATTATTAGGAACTCATGCTTAGCTTGCAAAAAAAAAAAAAAAGTTTTAGAGAAAAATAAAATATGTATGATTGGCTCTTGTAGTAAAAATGCTGCTGCTTATTTCCTATTTAGGTGGACTTATGATGCAGTGTTTGAAGCGTGGATAAATAAATTCTACTAAATACTAAAAGTTGTACATTCTACTAACTATAATAATTGTCTCTTCTGTTACCTACGGCTAGAACCGGCTAGAACGGCTAGAAATATAATGTGCAGATGAGAAGTAATTGTTTAATAGCTTCTTCTATCAGCTCTGTGTATTTATTCCTTACGCACAACTACAAGTTGGCAAGATTATTCTGTTTGAAAGTTTCATCAAATTATTTCATTATAATTTCGAAAGGATATTGTTACGAAGAAGTTAAGTTTAAATTTTTTTTCCTGCAAAGAAACTTATTATAATGATAACAAATAACAAATTAATTCGAAAATCACTAGCCAATAACTCTTAATTCCCTAGGAGTCCTTAGTCTAGAGTTTAAAAATAGCTGTTCTATGCTATTCACATTCACAATCCCAGAGAAAGGACATGGTACTATTGACCCATATTTTACTTCTGTTGAGTGTCAGCGATGTCCAGAATGAAAGACTGAGTAATGATATCGTCGCTTCTTATCTAGCTATGATTAAGACTTTTGATGAAATATGAAGAAAGAAACTTAACAATAAACTTTGACGAGTTTGGTATTAAAGGGAAAGTTTTTCCGTAAATTTTAGATTTTCTAAAGGATAGAATTATAATTTTTAAATTTTTAAAGTCTTTTCTAAAGATTTTTAAATTCCTCAGGGTATCAGGCCTATGTTTTTCTCATTGTTTATGGCTGGAATAGAAAATCTGATGTTTAAGAGATGTAAAGTTGTATCATTTGCTGATGATGTTTTTCTTCGACTCTCCAGTTTAGACGTTAAAACAACCGAACAGAACATAAATATCATTCTTGATGATATAAGAAATTTTGCTGACGGCTACGAACTGATTTTTAATATTTCAAATTTGGGATTAGCTTTTATATAATTACCAGTTTCTGAAGTTAATGAATGATTATGTATTGCCGTACGTTAAGTATTGTTTTATGTTTAGACTTTACAGCTATGGGCCAAGCGATATTTGGTTATAAGTCGCAGTGGCGAGATGTAGGAAAAGGATATTCTCACATATAGGGAAATTGTTTGAAATTAACATAATTTTTCACTTCAAATTTTGAGTAATATCGAGGATTCCTTATTAGAATGACATTTAACTAATTATCTTTATGAATCAGTTTATGCAACATAGAACATATTGTAATCTGTTACTTTAGAACAGACACTTCACGACCGTTTCTTTCTATCAAACCCTGAATCACAGCCGTGGCAACGGCTGCTGAGGATAAAAAGGTAGAATAAAAGGTCTCTAATTTGCCAAAATGCCCTATGATTTTTTATGTAACATACTATAGCGTGATATTTATGATATTTTAATGTAACATACTATAGCGTGGTGATGAAAAATAACATGAAACAATATATTTTGTTATTTCCAAAACATATACAAATAACATTGATACAGATACCAGTTTTTTGTAAATCAGAAGCGGACTCTGTAACATCTGATGACTTCAAAGAGCCATCTTTCCCCTCTGAAATTTCATTGCCTTTCTGTAATTTTCTTGAAAGGGGAGACAAGACTTCAGTTTCTGTAATTTCTCGCCTCACGGATGTTGTAACTGTTGTATTCTTTGTAACCTCTTCCGAAGTTTCTGACTCTTCAGGTACTTCGGTCACAATTTGTCGTTGCCTTCTTGCTGCGCCAGGAATAGCAGATGGTTTTGCAGGCCATCTTAAGGATCTTCTTTCTTCGCTAATCACTTCCTGTCCTTTGGTTCCCGTTTTTCTGTTTTTATCTACTTGAGCATATAGCGGAGAAGACAGTTTATTAACTGAAGCACCTGTAAAAATGCACTTAGTTAATTTCTGCAGCTAAACAGAATCAAACACTGTTCCATATATTGAGTATAATCTGAATATTAAAACTGAACTACCTTGAAAGAAAAAAATACTTTTCATGATTTAGAGATATAAAACGAAGAATTTCTTTAAATAACCTGTAAATATTTCAAATTTCTCTACTGATCCTGAGCAATAATTCGTAGGGATTATTTTAATTTTCCAACACTTATTTTTAATTTTGAAACCCTTTCCTTTAAATTCTTGTTTTCCACCTACAACTCCCTGCCAGAACAAGATTTCAGTATCGCGTTTTATATAAATGAAGTAGAACCAGTTTTTTTTTGGGGGGGGGGAAGTTCAGTCACTTCCTTAGAAGAGCTCAGAAGTTCTTAGTAGAGCACGCTCTGCCTTCGGGCCACGACATTACTTTAAGCCTATCTTGTTACGTACGGCCGTAGTCTTACGTGCATGTTAGTATTCGCCCGTGAGGTTTATTTACGGGTCAACTCGATTGGTTATGTTTGTACATCTTCGGCTAAAGTTTAGTTAGTTAGAATTAGTTTAGTTTCTTATTTTCTACCTTAAGTTAAAGTGCAACTGGAGGCTTTTCTGCAAGCCCGAGAGGGAGGCCCAACTCTCATTATTTCTTTGAGTGAATGAAAGGGTATTTTAACCCTTCTCTGGACTTATATTTTATACAACTGTAAGGAGACCAGCGAATAATCGCTAGATACTCTCATAAAAGTTCTAGTAGCCAAAAGGACATGTAACTTAACTAGAACTTTATAAACTATAAATAACTAAACTGAAGATACATGTTTATTGCTAATACTTGTTAATTAAGTCTAATACGTGAAAAATACAATGGTTACAACATGTCTTTGTCTTATTTTTAATTTTAGCAACGGCTTCTGCATTGTGGTCTATCATTGCCATTTTACCATCAGTATATAGTTTTCTCATCGCATTTCATTTGATAAGAAATATTCAGTCAAAAGATTAAATGTTTCTCCGGCTGATATGTTGTTACTAATCTGCAAAGAAGAAGCTCCTGCTGGTAGCTTTGTAAACAAGCTTAAAGAACAAATAGCACTAAACCTACTAACTAGGCATCATTCATCTGCAGCACGATTATGGGTACTCCTGAAGCGACTGATTCCAAGGAGGTTAGAATAAGAGCCAAGGAGGTCTATTCTAACCTCCTTGACTGATTCGGTGTCTCTTTCACGTCATCAGCTGAATCGCTGATTCGTCGAACAAAGGTGTTATTTGTCAAACGTAAATACCGTGAGTGGAATATGGTGTAAATTGTCAAGCCGTACTATGAGCGTATTCTCTGAATTTATTGATGTTAATTTGATGATTTTATTTTATATTAAAATTAGGTGTATTTTTTAAATCATATTGACATCTACTTTTAAGACGAGGTAAAAACAAGCTCTTTCCATGTTTCCGTCACTTAAAGGCTAAAACTGTGTCTATGTCTCTCTACAGTTAATTCAGATTTCTCTCTAAATAGCTATTGAATGCGTTCTTGGTTTTGTTCAAATACCTCTTTATCGATTCCTGGAACTTGCCACTTTTTTCAATCGGAAACTTGTTGGCGAAGTGTTAACAAGTATTCGAAGAAATGAATCTGTAATACTGATATATCATTAATACCATTTAATACTGATATTCCAAATTCCAATACTGATATTTCTCTTCTTTACCGTTCCGTAAATAGACTTGTAATGTACTTTGCTAACTAACCAGTTATTATGATTTTGATCTTTACTATGACTTCTTTCTTCCGTATGCATCACCAAAATGCAAATTATTTTTAAGTATATATAAGCTGAGGGTTTTGAATCTTACATACAGAGAGTTTCTGGCCCTCTAGTAGAGCTTAACTTTTCCAATTTTAACTAAAAGTAATTATTCCACCTTTGGCATATTTTGCCAGCTGATTACTTTAAACTCACTTAGCTGATTGCAACGCCATTAGTATTAGTTGAGCCAGCCTATACACTGGTGTGCAAAAATTAAGGACGAAGTCGAAAAATTAGCATATTAGCTGAACGAAGAGGCTGAGTGGGCAGAAAGACCAATCAGGAGATTTAGTAAGGTGATGTACGGTAGCACATGCGCAGATATGCAGGTAGACGTAATGGGGGAGTGTCTGAGTAGTATAAAGCATGTTGTCGGTGTAAGATCAGTATTTCTGGCAAAGAGATTGCACGCCGTATAGCAGTTAAAATCACACCGAGTTGCTGCCTCAGCGAGAAATGGCGAATAATCAATCTGTTAGACGACATCTGGATGCTTTTACCCAAGGTCGAATCATTGGGAAGTTGGAGGAAGGCCGCAGGACAAGTGTGGCTGCAGAGTTCGGAATTGCTCACAGCATCGTTTCACGACTTTGTAGACAATTTCAAACTACAGGAACAGCTATCGGGGGTTTTAGTAGTGGTCGTCCACGAGGAACCACACCCGCAGATGACCGGTATATTGCCTTACAGGCCAGAAGAAACAGACGGCAGACAGCGGGAGAAATCGCTAGACACACGACACAGGCGACTGGACGACCGATATTACCGTGGACGTTTTACCGTGGCTAGAAGACTGCACGGTGGTGGTCTGTTTGCACGACGCCCTGTACGGTGTGTACCTCTAACGCCTGCCCATCAGAGAAGGCGTTCTCTGTGGTGCCGGGAACACCGGAATTGGAGAGACAATGAATGGGGACGAGTACTCTTTACAGATGAGAGCAGATTCAGTCTGAGTAGCGATTCTCATCGCATACTCATCTGCAGAGAGCGGGGAAGCCGCAATCATCCCTCGAACATCATTGAAAGGGACAGGTATGGAGGTTGCGGTGTCCTCGTTTGGGGAGGCATGATGCTTGCTAGTCGTACAGACCTTCACATCTTCGACGCAGGTTCATTTAAAGGGACCCGTTATTGTAACGAGATTCTTCTTCCATATGTGCGTCTTTTTAGAGGCCCTATGGGTCCGCAGTTCCTTTTCATGGACGACAATGCACCATGTCATCGCACAGTAGCTGCCGGACAGCTCTTAGAGAGTGAGGATATTGAACGTATGGATTGGCCGGCACGATCTCCGGATCTCAATACCATCGAGCATGTATGGGATTTTCTAGGCAGACGCTTGGCAGCTCGTACCTTACCACCAGTAACGATTCCGGAGCTTCGATTGGCGCTGCAAGACGAAGGGCAGCAATGCCTCAACAACTCATTGACACCCTCATTCTCAGCATGGGCAGACGCTGTGAAACCTGCCTAGCAGTCAGGGGAGATCGTATCCCCTATTAAAGACCGGATGTTTCTTGCTGGACACCCATCACAGGGATGTTTCGGCCTTCAGTCGCATTGCGCTCCATGCTACTTTTTCAATAAAGCTTCTTTTTATCCCTCTGATTTCTCTTTTAGTAAGTGTTGCTTACATTACTCATGTCCTTACGTATTGGGGATCTTACGGTATTAAATGTGTTGATTTGGAAAGCTTTTGTACAAAGTTATATTAAAAAAACCGTCTCGTCCTTAATTTTTGCACACCAGTGTACTTTAATTTATTGCCTGCGTAGTTTTAGACTACTGATCAACGTTAGATTGAACTGATTGTTATTTCTCAATTTACATCGACACAAGTAGTGGTTTATCAGTAGCATAAATCGTGCCTTTTATGTTAAAAGTTCAGACTAAATTAAAAGATTATTTTAACCTTCGCAAGTCTTTGTCATACTATTCTAGACGTAGCGATAATTCTCTAATTTGTCTAGTAGTGCTGTAGAACTTAAATTCAGTGTCCAAATTAATACCAACCACACAGAATTAAATTCTATTATTTTTATGCACCAAATATAGCATCACCATATAGATAAAGTATCAATGATAGAATTACATACCTTATTATCAGTAATTGAAAAATTTAAATTATTATTACCGATTGAAACCGATCTGCCGTGATGTAGACTACTATCGTGTGACGTCTGATTTTTTATTTACTGTACATATTTCTCTTGATAGAAATTTTTTTCTGATTCTATAGAAATTTTTTGTGATTCTCTATTATTAAAGGAATACAGTTTCTTGCACTACATTATTGCTGTTAGGGTACAGACATGAAAAGCTACGAACACAACTGAATCACTGGCTGCACATCCATGGAGTATTTGTTTGTAAGAACTATGAGAGTCATCAACTAGAGAGTTTGTAAGAACTATGAGAGCATGTACCTTTTGTAATTAATTTTCCCAAGTCTTTTTTTCCTAAATGCAATTACAACATTTTTGTGCATAATAATAAAACATTTAGCAGTATGATGAGAAAATTATAATCTCCTGTTTCTGTGATAAATATTTATTATCATCATATAGTTGAAAGTGCCCAATCTAACCCGAAAACTAAATTAAATAATTGTATTTTTCTTTGTTCTCATTTATAAGGAGGATTAAAACTGCAAATATTAACTACTTTAATTCAAACGTTTTATTACGGTGTCCAAATCATTAACTATATATTAAAATATGCAAATCTAAACTTGGCCTTTTTTAAAAGAAATATTCAACTTAGTCAAAATTAAATATCATAAATCAAAACAAATATCATTCTTACTGAACAGGCAACTGCCACTTGAATAGCAATATCTCTTGTTAGACTGAGAAGAAGGAACGTACTATGGGATTGAAGACATTCGCTTTCAAAGTACTGTATATATGAAAAAATCGTCATAAAACAAGGCGATTGCAACGCGCCCGTCATCTGCTAGAGGAAATTCGAAATTGAACTTGGAAAATTCCGTTCTGTATGTAATTTTTAGCTTTTCTAGATTTTGATTCTACTTTTTGTTTCTTATTCTTTAATTTTATTAATTGTGATTTGTTTCATTTTTCTGGAGCGGCCACTGAGCCCTTGGGAAGTGTACGTGGGCGGAACACAGACTAAGAACCACTGCCTTTAAAAGATCAATTTATTTTCACTAGTGCCGCTTAGGTATATAAATACACAAATGACTCACGTTTTGTAAGATTTAAGATTGGATTGGTCATTTAAGAGGAAATTTAATTTTATCACTCTTCTTATTATTAAGGTCTAGAAAACTTCCTTTGTTTTTTTTTCTAAACTGAAATAAAGCAATGTGAAAATTTTCCATATAGAAGACCTGAAATTATTGTCTTGTCTATTCATAAGCGTAGTCTTAAAGTTCAAAATTATGATATATAAATTAAAATTTGCAGAACTCCAGAGAAATCGTAAATAAAAATCTTTGACCAGGTCAGTTCTAATAGTGTATGACAGGGGTTTTCAACCGGTGGTACGCAAGAGGAAAATAGGTGGTACGCAAAGAAGCAAAGTATTTTTAACTATTAAATTCAAAATTTGAACACCCCAACATTCTGATTGAGATTTTTTCTCTAACACTTGTAAATTTATGCGATCTGAGCTTTGGTCAAGAGTGGTGGTGGTAGTAGTACTTTGTAGTGGTGGTACTAAAGGTTTTCAATTTTTGTTTAGATGGTTCACGTTAGTCAAAATGTTGAAAACCGCTGGTGTATGAATTTTCTCTAGCAAAAAGAATAGTAGTATTTTAGACGACATAAAAGAATCCCTTTTTAGTTAACGTAAATATTGCATTCATTTAATATTATAGATTAATTGTTTTGCTTATTAAAATAAAATACTCCAGGATTTAAAGTATAAATTAATTTGGTTATTATGTTCATTAATATTAATTTAAAAATCTGTGACTGTGTTAATTTACCTCGGGTTTGGAGATTTTGTCGAACAGAATTTCTTGCATTGAATTTCGATTCTTCACTTCTTGCTGCGAAGTAGACATCTCCATTTTGGTTTTCTGGCTCTAAAACTGTAGTCACGGTTTGATCTTCTGTTTCTGGCCTCTTGACTGATGTAGTGGCAGTGGACTTCGCTTTGCTATAATAATGATGAACAGTGGGCTCCGTCACCCATCGCCTGTTTCCAGTTTTTCTTAAAATTGCTTTAGGTATAGAAAGAATAGACTTTGGTCCTCCCTTAAAAATGCAGAAAATTAGATGCATTACTTTCGAATAATTTCGAAAATTTCAAATTTCATAAGTTTTTTAGTTTTAAAACGTTTCATTGTAAATTCATGCAGATACGTCAATTTATACTTTTTTTAAATAAATATTGAAAATCTAGACCGCAGCATCCTCTGCTCATTTGATTTATGAGTAGTAATTACTGTTTCTCTATTCCGATAAAACCCTTTCATACTGTTCCAATATACATAATGAGCATTCATGAATGTGAAGATTCCTTACTAATTACGCATAAATAATTTCCATATTTTAGGTTAAGGAAACGTGAAAATTATAACTTACAAAATATCTTTACCTTCATTTTCTGACTTCTCTCTTATGTAGCATCTTAACGCATAGTCTACAAAGCGTTCATGATTGTTAGAACGTGAATTAGGCTTCTGCATATTCGAAACAGTTCCATAGATCATTAATTCTCTAAGCTTTTAGATTATGTTCCATATTGTTTTAAAATAACTTCAAAATGGCATATATTTAATCGTGAACCACAACAAATAAAGAATTCAGTACACATAATATAAGTTGTATATTTAGAATAATATAGTAAAATATCATTTATCCGAACGGGGGCGTAGTCATTAGAGAAAACACGTGTAAAACTAGTTTCGGCATTTGAAGACAGAAATAAACGCGCACTGTTGAATAAATGTTCAGACTACAGTTTACTTACATTAGTAATGCATTTATATATTACGTATATAAAATAGTGCATTTATATATTATGTGCATAAAACAATGCACTTTTATATAACGTACATAAAACAATGCATTTAAGTATTCGTTTCATTTAAAGTAATTTTCTTTTGATCCCCCCTTCGGTGCTTATAAACAACAATGTTATTATGCCTCCATTTAGGGAAACATGTAAGTGAAAATCATCTTTCGGAAACATAATTTCGTATTTCATTATTTAAAAAAATGGAAATAACCAATTTCGGGCGCACACATTCAGCGCTGTTTCTACTCGCCAATTCGGTTAAGCAAAACTCAATTGAAAAAGATTTAAATTTAATACTTTATATCGAACTTCCAATTAAGACAAGTTGTTCAATTTTAATGCATACACAATCAATTAGTATCTAGTTTTCTGACTGAAGACAAAATCCGTCTGTTTAATGATTTTCAATAAATCTTACATTTTTGAAGGAGTTTTACGCATGGAAAGAAAAGTTTGTTAAGAATAAAGACATAGTTAACATTAAATGTTTATGATCATTTAATAGTAACGTTTTCTGTTGTTGGTAAAAAAAATATGAATAATTATGTCGTCAACAAAACGTAACGCTTATTGCAATAGAAGTTAGTTAGTAATAGTTATTAAATTTCCTTCTACATGCAGCTGAGGAATTAGAAGATTTATATTTACTCCCAGTCCAGATTTAGCGATAATAAACTAATTTCGATTAAATTCATTCTGAATGAAACTATTAGATTATCCCATTCAATAAATTTGCAATCGGATAATTACTGCCATTAAGTTTAACAAACGTTATATATTAGCAAAGTTAATTCAGTTGAACACAGCAGAGCAGTCGAGGATGACGTTTGTGGAGATCTTTCTAATGGAACCTGACTCATATCCACATTACACATGGGAAAGACCAGAAAAACACCTATACAATTAATCCATCCGCTGGGGCTCGAACCCGGGTCGAACTACCAGTGTTCAATGATTGTAACCACTCGGCCACATTACTTTTTAGAATGTTAAACAGATCTTCAAGCGTGCATGGACAACAACAGAAAGTCTTACTTTACGATATAACAAATGCTTAGATCCGTCTACTTGGTCTTCAGCTAATGATGAACTAGAAGCTGATGCTTCCGATAGCTCTCCGCTAGTAGTTTCTGTGGTCGAAGTGCTGGCCGGGTACTCCTCATACGGTTGGTCAGGAGAGGAGAGGGCTGATGCTCTGCCAGCTGGAGCCGAATACGGCACAGCTCTCGGTATCCGAACAGTGTGTCCGAGGACAGATGATAGTAGCGAAGAAGGTGGTTGTAAGTTTGAACTGCTAAGCCTGGTTATTTGTGAAGGTGGTGCGGATGATGAGGTGAGGGTACTTTTGCGAATGATTCTGATGTTTCGCCGCTTCAAGCAGAAATAAGCGATTCCGATTCCCAGTGTCAGTAGAGATAGAAAGAGTAAAAGGCAGATGATGATGAGGATCTCCACTTCAGAAAGTTTTGCAGTTCCGATTCGAGTTGGAACCACACTCGGCACTACACTGAAATAGAAAAGGAGCATTTTAAAGTAAACATTTTCTATTACTTGAGAGAAAAAAAGTTTTACTTTCATTTTAAACAGTGATATTATTGTAGTATGAAAACTATAATAAACTACTCACGTTGGTGGCCGCACAATTTGGATACTGCCTGGAGGTGGTGTTAAAGGAGGAGGATATCGGCAGACGACCGTCTTTGTTTCGTCTTCTTCTAACTCCAATGCAGGGTGAAAACGAATAGTGATATTGTTTACAAAAACCCTCGGGGATTCCTTAGAACAAAAGAATATTTAAGGATGTTTTAAGCGGGCATCATATAAATTATGCATTCTACTTCTTTAAAGCTAGAAGACAGGTATTTCATAAAAGAAAAAAGTGCATTCTGTTTCATTTTATGCAAATGAGATTTTAATCAACATTATGCATATACTCTGCTATCAGTTTATAAGAATCCCGCTGTTAAAGCTATTCTGTTTGTTATGTTTTTGCATCTATACTGCCTTACAGTTTTTCATATTTTAAGGATTCATAACAAAGCTGATATTATTTCTTTTAATATTTTTAAATGAAAATAAATATTTAAAATGATAAACTCTTAGTCACAAAATTCTACCCTAATCATTTCCTCATATATAATATCGTAAAATTATATTTGAAGACATTTTGACCACATCTAAGGTAAAAGTGAACAGTAAATTTGTTTTCATATATAAAAATTTTCACATTAGAAAAGACTTTATGAATTCAAATGTATTTCTTATTGATTCACAAAACTTTTTCCGAACATATTATAGCCTGATGATATTTTTAACAAATAGTTCTTCGTATTTATTTCCAAAATTATGCTCTCATTCATCAAAGAACAGCTATACTGCCTCTTTGAAAAACGAAATAAAACAATTTTTTTTCTATGAAAAATTTTAGAGATGAGATTTAAACTAAAGCGGAAGAAAAGCTTCTAAATAAAGGGAATTGGAAAAGGAGGACTACAAGTTTCATTTCCTTAAAATATTGCTCCTAGATGTTTTTAATAAACACGAAATCTGCGAACTCTAAATAGTAAACATTTCGGAAAATTTTCATTGAGGTTTTTTAAAAATTTTATGTCGTTCTTGTGAGATGATATTCAGTCCACTTTATTTCGTTGAAAATTAAAGTTACATATTTTTACGTTCCAAATTTGCCGAGATTTCCAAGTGTAAATATATTGACTTAAGTCACTTTTGTGTATATTTAACAGACAAGTTTCAAATTTGGAGAACAAATTTAGGAAGAAGCTGCAAAATAAACGTTGCACGTTTCGGCAATTAGGCTTTCATTTGGGTAAAACAACACTGATTACGAAATCTGTAGCATTTTCTTGAAAATATACATGAAACATACCTCACAGAACGATCAATGCAAAAACGTGGAACTTCTAATTAAAGCAAGAATTTATTTATTTTAATAGAGTTTTTATTCTGCGTAGGTTATATAAACTGTTAATTTTCTTTTATACAACTCTCGTACACAACATTAAGACTATTTTCATCAAATTCTGTAGCTCAATTTAAATTGTTTTCTAGCTAGAAGTACATATTTAAGAAGTTTATATTTAAGACTAAAGATAAGAAAGCTTATATTCAAAATTTCTGAACCTGTTATATATCAATTTACAGATTTCTTTCCAAAATAAGTCATTCACTTTCCTGAAATTTGAGATACCTGATTTGCTGAAGAGTAAAAGGCAGATCATGATGAGGATCTCCTCGAATGTGTACAGAAATGTATATATTTGAATGACTGCAATTTGTTGAAGTGTCACCACAACAGGAAGAATTGTGCAGAGCATTAGAATTTCACTATTGGCTGTGAAGGTCGCAGTCTTCCCGCATTAACTATACACCTATCAATTTTGATGGAGAACAAACACCCCAAAGGATGAATCAGAGGATCTTCCACCTCTCTTCTCGACCACCAAACCAATCAATAGGGCTTTCGGGTCGCCAGCATCTTAAGTGTCTTCGTGCCGCATAGACACTATTACAGTTACAGATATCTAGAACATTCTCCTGGATTTGAAGCCAGGCCCATCCTTACGTCAGCCAGAGTCGCTAACCTCTAAATGGTTCTGGGGGGAAAGAGAGTCAACAGAAAATCGCTACATCTCAGAATTACATCTGTCTCGGACGGGTCAGACTACTCTGGCGACGAGGCATATTCCACTCGGAGCAATCAAGGAGCCATTGAGATTACGTGGTCCCTGCACAGTCTGTGCTGTGTCTTGCAGGCGCGAAGTGCAGGCGTATCCATAATGTGCAGGTGTGACCTGCAGGCGCGAAATCGTCTGTAGACGACTCAGGCAGTGGTCTGGGTGTTGTAAGTAGTAGAGCAGCCACCATACTGTAATCTACTGAAACTCGTCTTCGGACTGGAAGAGAAATCACACTAGCATAGACAATGAAAAAATGGCATCGATAAAATTACCTCCCCCAGAAAAGAGTGTGGGGCTGCAAATATAGATCTTCCACTCACTGTTGCAGAGAGTTTTGCCATGGAATGATAAGTATTATTCTTACTTTCAGTTCTCTTTAGTTTTACACAAGATTTTAGTCTGTTAGGTATTACATGAGAATATCAGTTAAACACTAGTGCAAAAAGAATTCCAAATACACATGTGTATGTTATTCTACACTTAATAATCGGAATATAAAGGAAGGTAGCAGTTGCCTAATAATTACTGCATACATTTTTAATATCCCTCTTTCTTAAATATCTTGGTGATTTTACTGAACAATGTTGATTCAGATTCAATTGACTTAATTGGTCTGTGTTATCTTCGATAATGCGTTTCATTTTCAGCAAGACACTGGAGATTCACATAGGAGTCTAGGGCACGGTCTTACTGAATAACAGATATTCAGCGGTGTGAAGAAGATTATGGAGTAACATAGATAGGTTAAAGAGTGACCGATGCGTCAAATATGGGAGTTCTGCTTGTACCTGAAGGTGAGTGGAAGCAATCTATACAGTAGCGTTAACTTCTTCGTAAACTCCATTCCTGGCTATGAATGGACATGTTACAAATGTATCTTGGTCAGCTTTAACTTACATTTCATATAAAGCAAATTGTAAGTAATATTTTCCTTTCTTACTGCGTGTCTTCGTGGTATCATTGGATGCATGTCCGGCTAACAATAAGAGGGCCAGCAGTTCCAATGCAGACGATAACTTGGCTGAATTTTTGCGTTTCTCGATCTTAAATATCTACTAAAATACTACTCTTAAATATCTACTAATCTACTACTACTTGATGAGTCTTTGTTTGAGTGCTATAACTGGCACTCAAACAAAGATTCATCAAGTTGTTGTTGGTGTTGTTGTCTTGTACATGAATTTCACAGAAGAATGACTGCCAAATCCTCAAGAAGGTTAGACGTTCTCCACAATTTTGAGGGACAGCACCCCATGGATGGTGTTTCGAAGGTCTCCCATCCCTTCCCCTTTCACCAAATCACATAGAACTTTCGGCTCGCCATATTTTTAGAGCGCCCCCATGCCGCAAATGCCTTCTCTGGGATCGAACCCCGACCTTCGGTACCACAGTGGGTTCCCCTAACCACTATATCATCTGGGCGGCGGCTAGTTAAGTCATTAGGTATTTAGAGGTGGCAAACGTGAAAAATCAACGAACTCTCGTTGGGATCCGAACTCCGGACATTCCAGTTGCTAGCCAGAAGTGCTTTCAGTTATACTCAGATAGGAGATGCTGGGGATGAAGAAAATTCCTGACAAACTAAATTTTGAAAAAGCAATAATAGTTCACTTAATTTAATATCCGTACAATTTGAAATGTTGCACTTACATGGATGGAAATATATGCCTCTATAAGTTAATCAATTCATTTAAATTAGAATAAGGCAATGCCGTAAGAGTTATGTTATATAACAGACAATACACACACGCACATATCACACACACACATATATATGTGATGTACCAGCTTTTGTCAGGAATAAATAGATTGTTGAAGAATCATAAATGTAGTCGTAGCTTAAATTATCAGACGATAAGTTTAAAAAACAGGATCCATTTATTATTATTCAGGAGAATAGCAGTTACAAAATCAGATATCCGGAGTAAATAAAAAGAATTACTAATAACTTTTTGTATGAAGTTTACTGCATCATGACATTTAAGAGAAAGCCCCCGATATTCCTTTGCGAGTCTTTTTATAGCCTCTGGAAAGGCGGAGCTTCCAAGAATGACGTCAGCCTCGTCAGCCAATCCAGTTCGCTTTAAATATTTCCAGAACATTCTATAACTGTAAGTGTAGAAAAGGCGGTAAAAACAACTTGACTACGGGGCTGTGGATTTAATTCCACGTACTTTCAAAAGAGAACGTCGCCATTAAAAATAAAAAGAACATACAGTTAGAATTTTAAGTGTATTCTTGACTATGGAATTTTATTATTACATATGTATATATATATAATAAAACAAATTAACTTACGTAATCAATATGAAACACACAAAGGTTGAAAGAAGAATGTAAACTTGTCTTAGGAAAGTATTAAAATTACAAATTGAAAACAATACTCATTATGAAAATTTAATACTTTTGCGAGCTTGTAAATACTATTGTTACTTTTCCGCATCTTTCCATTAATCTAAATTCTGATATTTCTAGTATGAAGTAAAAAACACCATTGATGACTTTCATAACAAATATTATATCAAAGATATAAGAGATAAGTGAGATGAGCCGCGCCAAATTTTATTGTTATAAACAAACTTTTGTAATTTGAGTATCAGTAAGTGTCCGAATATTGACAATTTTTGAAGGGTTTAAAAATTAAGGAATGCAATAATGGATCTCTTAAAGGAATTTCATTCATTTGATAACTTAAAAGAAAATCTATTAAACATTGTTTGTGAATTTATTATTCCATTTTATTATAAAAATCAGTCATAAAAGGGCATACATTCTCAGCTTCTGGTTATTATTAGTTTATATCGATAAAAATAGATAGATAAAACCTTTGATTATACCTGCCATGTTCCACATCCTTTCAAGGGTATCCTCAATTCATAATAATAATCACCGGTTCCATGAATGCGGCACGGCGAAGTCCGGGAACGATGGGCGTACATTAGTCCTCTGAATGGTTGTGTAAAATTTACTTTTACCACAATATCTCCACTTTCGCAGGAAAGGAAAGCTAAAAAAATAATGATGCTTACAAAAAAAAATGGTTCCTTAAACATGTATGAATTTTAAACTAAATAATGAATTTTGTTTTACCATAATAAAATATCATGAAACTGAATGATTCAGGTACATGAGTTAAATATTAAAAACTGCAGAATAAATTGCGAGTTACAGACAATTATGTAGGAATAATGTGAATCATGTAATTATATGTGAATCATGTGAATTATGAATTTTGTGCGAAACGTGGGAAATATGAGACGTAAAAATTGACAAAGGATTACAGCAACTCATTTTTTATTAAGTCAGGATCTAAACAATACTAATAATAATCTAATACATAGATGTTAATAATAAAAATACCTTACATTGCTTATAAATATCGCCAGAAAGCGCTTTGCGTTCTATGTACACAGCAGGGAACGGGAAATGTTCGATATCTCCTATTCTACTAAGCCAATTTGTAGAGATATTACGATTTTTTGGAAGCCAGCGAGATGAAAAATATGCAACCGCCTTCGCCGGGAATCGAACCACGGAACTCTGGAATACCGGCCCAGCGTGCTACCGTTACACCACGAAGGACGCTGGGAAAGTGGAAGAAATACCTTATATACTCCTCTTTTTAAAGGGCGACTAGGGTTTTAGGGGACCTAGTCGCCAAATCCTGGGTGCGGAGAATCATCATCCACAACCCTTTTAGTTCGGACGCCACTGTAGAGATATTAGGATTTTTTGGAAGCCAGCGAGATGAAAAATATGCAACCGCCTTCGCCGGGAATCGAACCACAGACCTCTGGAATACCGGCCCAGCGTGCTACCGTTACACCACGAAGGACGCTAGGAAAGTGGGAGAAATACCTTATAAATTCACGAAATCAAAATGGCGTTTTCCATGTCTCGCAAGAGCAACTTGGGATATATATTAGATTTAAACATAGCATTTGGTAAATTCAAATTGTTCTAATATAGGTATTTTGACACAAAATCGGACTTTTTCTGAAATGACATGTAAATTTTTTTCCATATTTCGATTCTACGACTAAATATTAAATTTTATTAAATCTGGTGCGAAATTCAAAGAGAAGTTCAAAAATTTATCTTGGCACATTTTTTTTTTTTTTTTTTTTTTTTCAGTTTGCGCCAAGAATAATTTATTTGACGAACTTCTTAATTTATAGCAACCTATTTTCCTTCTTTTTTTTTTTTTTTTTTTTTTCATTGTACAGAAGCGGGAAAAAAGTCATCGTTCATACTTTCAAATAATTTTAACAAAGCGCGTAAACCACATTTGGCGTCATTATCGCTTAACAGCAAATGTGCCAAATGTCAAAACGCGCCAATATATAAATTCATGTAAATCTTAGGAAATTTTGTATAAAAAAAGTCTAATTTTTTTTTGTACGTATGCTTAGAAATACATCTACTTTAAGATGATGGTAAAACTTTTATAGTTTATAATTCAAAATATTTTTCGAAAAATTTGTAAACGTTGTTTAAAAACACAAATTTTAAAAATAAATCATAAAAAATGGATGAATTTTATTTGGAAAGAACGTAAATTCCTAAATGTAAAAGGAAGAACAAAAAAAAAAAATTTTAAATAAAAAAGATATATTAGTAAATATATGACAAATTCAATTAACATGGAGGAGCTAAAATTCTGAGAGCTAATTTTTTAAAAAACTATTCGTGCGATTTTTACAAAACTTGGCAATCTGGCATAATTTTAATGATAGAATCAAAATATGGAAAAAAATTGTCATGTCATGTCAGAAAAAATCCGATTTTGTGTCAAAATACCTATATTAGAACAATGATATATATAAATCTAATACATATCCTCAGTCACACTTTCGAGACATGAAAAACGCAAGCTGAATTTCGTCAATCGGCCCAGTAGAAAAGTAGATATAGAACTGTCCTTTTTTTTTCTTTTTTTGCGCAGTGTACCATACGGCATCTTGGGCACAATATAATATACAGCTTGACAGAAAACCCCACACCTTACAGATTGATTAGAAAGAGACCAAACTTTGTACATAGATAAATAATCAATCATTTAAAGAATGATTAATTTTCAAATAATATACAACGGTAAGATACTTAGATAAATCAAACATCAAAAAGATTTTCAGCCATATTTGAGGCCATACATTCTTCAGCGTTTCCATGCATCGAAACAAAGAAATTCTAATCATATCATGTGCTATAATGCGTCACGTGTTGTTGATAAAACCATGCAATTAATCGTTGTTTCGCAAAAGTGGGAAAGATTCAACAGTCGCTCAATCATATTCTACAAACGTTCGACTAGCGAGAGATTGGGAGTTCAAGTTGGACAAAAGAGGTCTCTCACATCCTGCATTTCATTCAGGCTGAGCATAAGAGTGTCAGGTCGGGCGATATCTTTTTAAAAATGGTTGTCAGACGTTACAGAAAGATATGTTTAGAAGATACAGAAAATGTTTAGACTGTAGCATGTCAACAGTGGCATACCATTAATGTGCACTAGACATGAATCATTATTAGCTCTAATGACACCCCAAACAATTATTCCACGTTATATCCTCTCTAAAAAATGGCAGATGCATCCGACTGATGATCACATCGCTTCCAATCCTTACATGCTAATTATCATTTGTGAGACAGAAACAAGATTCGTAGCTGAAGGACGCTTTCATATTTTTCAATCTAGGCAACTCTATTCAGATTTCATCGCGAAATTTTAAGAATCGCCACTGAGATAGTAGAAACATTCAAAATATCTTCACTTGTGGACCGTGGGATAGATTATATGGGTGTCACGTCTTATTGGATAATTAGTCCTGATTGACGTCCATCTCCAGGCTTCGAGTCCCATACAACACTGCACATTTCTTATCATTGATTACGCGTCAAAAGAAACATTTTTAACGAAAACCAATTCTTTGTGAGAAACTCTATGCGGACCGCAGTTACAGACGAAACATGGTCGCCACAGTCGTAAAATGTCCCACATGTGTAGCCGGAACTTCGCTTTCAAGGACACTTTTTTGACTAGGAACCCTCCAAAGGTATGGAAAGGAGGAGCACCTTTCTTCGAAAATTTTCTCTCACCGCCACGCATCGCTAAGATGTTAGAACCCCATTAATGCCATACCTTTATTTTCTTCGTTCACCACACTCGTAAATAGCATAAAAACTCGCGTATTAAAGCCATTAAGATTCCAAAACATTGTTTGGATGCTTATATCCCGTGTGTTAACCGGCTTGCAAATGCATAATTTATACGTGTGCCCAAAGAAATCTGCGTGGTTATGCATTCTTTCTATCAACTAGTGTATATACAGCTATATTCGGTACTGAAAACAGTACATCTAATATCCTACAACACGTCCATGAAGATAAAACGGCCTGTGCATGGAGAAACTATAAATCTATTCAATTATGGAGTACAACTGAACAGTAATTCAAAAGACCGCGGAATCTTTGCCAAGGCAATCGGTAATCTTTCTTGCCCTTGGATGACATAGCAACGTTTCAAATTTCCATTTGGCAGACTGTGCGAAATTTAACATGAAATGATAGCTATATTCCTGTATGGCTGCTATTTGTCGCCGTGAAAGCTATTAGGATTAGAAGTTATTAGATAATAAGTTTTTAGATTATAAAAATGCAATTGCTACATTCTCAGATAAAGCAATTATTTTATACCTTAAAATTAAAAATAATATTCTTTTAAATTTAAAAGTCTAATAAGTAGTCTAATAAAAGTCTAAAGTCTTTTAAATTTAAAATCTTATAATATTTGTACCTTTTTAATGTAAATGTAAATGACTGATTCATTGTTTATCTAAAGTACCATAAAGTTAGACAAATACAAGAAAAAATAATTATACTATGTTTGTCTTTATCGTTTTCCTTTGTTAATTCTATTAATTCTATTATATTGTTTTATAGATAATTTAGTGCTAGTAATAAAGTAATTAAGATTTATATTGGTAATCCCAATTATAAAACTAAAAGCATCAAATTCATTTATTGGAAATGAATGTTTATTTGATATAAGAAATATTGACAAGTTTAAATTCAAGTTGTATCAATCAAGTTACATTTTGTATCTCATATCTTTAAAACCGCATAAAGATTAAGCGCATAAAAAGAGATTTGATTATATAAAAGGGAAACAGAGATCATTTACGTATTAAAATAATTTTGTGTATTAATGTCTTAAATTTTGTTTTTATTTTGCTCAGTTAAAATTTAGTTTGCTTTGAAATTTTCAGATCGGATTAGGATGAATCCGTATTGGTCTAAGCTGGACTAAGTTGGACTATATGTGTTTTACGACTACGCGGTTCGTCATCAAATTTTCCAAACTGTTTTAAATTTCTAAATACTTTTCCAACACAATTATTAAAAAATCTGAACGCTTATACAGAATTGATCTTGCAATAATCACATGGGGACATACGACTGCCATTATGAAATGAGAAGTTGAGTAAATTAATTTAAAATACTCCAAAATAAAATTTTGAATAGAATCCTTCTAAAAGATCAGAAGAACTTGATTACAGCTTTCAGGTTCTAAAATAAACGCTTATGGGAATGGAAAAAAATATACATTGCTTAACTTACCGCGAGTTCTGGCTGTTACAATGACGCTTTGAGGGTCGGTGGTCTCCCCTTGTTGGAGAATAGTACCACCTCTGTCTTGAGCTGAAACCATGCGCTGTGGAAGGAGAGAAAAAGAAATTTTAATGAATAGAATTAAAAAATATTGTTTAAAAAATGTATAAAATTTTTCATTACTCATTTATTGACAACCAAACCAAGCTATTTAAAAGCAACAAACTCAGCTCTTAAGAATACTTTTTACTACTTTTTAATATGATTGATTTAAATAAAAATGCATTTAAATCATGAGATGTTTAATTCGAAATATTAAATAATCTGTGAAATTACACTAGCTGGATTTTTTAAAATCACTGTAAATTTTTTCTTATTTATGATAACAATTGTAGATGGCTGGCCTCGTAAGCGGCTAGTTATTAAAAAAATGCAAATAATGAAGAATTAAATATGATTTTTAATTTTTGTTAATTCAGAGATATGCAATAGGGTAGAAGAAAATGGGCTATGGCCAGTACCACAAACATTAAACTTCATATTAAAACATGAAATAAAAATAAATCAATTTGGGGATTTCCGTTAAACAGCCACAGCAGAAAAACTGCATAACGAACGTTTCCTGAATAAATTTCTAATGTAAACAGAGTTAAAGGCGTCAGAGACTTTCGCTAATATAACGCTGCTGAATCAACTTTCAGCTTAGCAAGTAATGTTTGCGCAACAAAAAGATCTTTAGTTACGTAATATATTTCAAATTTATTTAAATTCTTAAAATGGGAAACTTTAAGCCTAAATTTTATACAAAAAAATGTAATTTTGTTTTTAATTTCAAGTAAACATTTGGCAGACCTTTTGAGAAAATCATGGCTTGGTCTTAGAATCTCCTAGACGTGAGAGGAAAAATTATTTGTGGCAACTTATGGGAAAAATTATGCAGAATACCTGAATTGATTCATTACTTTATGCAATTTCTGTGATAAAGTGTTTTTAAACAATTTTTAATAAATCAAAGATATTAATCCTCTAAAAACAACATTTCAATATATACGGGAAAGAAGTGGTCGATAAAATACAAGAAAATCGTATAAAGTTTTAGATATAAGAATGCAGTGTTTATTTCAATTTTTATTTGTGTAATTATTTCCGTTTTGCAATTTTTTCCCATTTAATCTAGCTCGCTTGTTAAAGTGTCACAAAGCATATACTTAACAGCCCAGTTTCTTTACGTTTGCAAAGTTAAGAGTTTAGATGAATTAATGAGTCCAAAAATCATATTTTATAGATAAATTTTAATACTTGTCATACTGTATTGTATGCAGAAAATCTGCTTAGGAAAACTCTATTTATCAGTGAGCCATAATGTTCATTTAATGTATTACATCAATTATTATTCGCATTATACTACACAATCACTTAAAAATAAATAATCTGTTAAAAAAAAGCTCATATTTATCATAGGTTTCAAGAAATGTTATAAGATCCTCAAGTAAACTTAAAAGTTCTTTACACACTACTTGGTTTGGTTTATTTAATTACGGCAAAGCACACTAGGGCTATCTGTCTAAGGGGAGGGATGCCTTCGTGGAGGACTTTCTAAGGAAAATTGGCTCGTATACACGTTACACATGGGGAAAACCACGAAAACGCCTATGCAGCCAGCCCGTCGCGGGATTTGAACCTCGAACCGAACTACCAGTGGTTAGCGACTTTACCGCTCAGCCGCTGGTGTGCTCTTTACACACTACTTGACTGCCAAGTGTGTTATCGCTTTGTTTGGGAAAGTAAGATTGTTAGGAAGGTTTTAAATAAACCTTTTTATTAAAACTTGAACTCAACAGACGACGCAATTTGAGCGTACAATCAAACTCATCAGTTGCGGATGTTAAAGATCAGAACATTGAAAATACAATCTAAAATGGATTCGCTGCATGGCACTACACCCAAGCCTGCCTAACTAAGCGTTGTTCAAAGCATGTAATGGCGTGATTTAACTTCGGCTACTAGCTAATGCCGGAATACTAACTGGCAAAGTTGGGCAAAAAGAAGAAAACCTGCGAGCTTCGCTACATAAAACTCCATCTCTGAGATATTCAAAACCTTTTTTTAAAATAGTCTTAACTCTTTTACGTAATGGTAAGGACTAAAGAAAAAGGTTTGGTTTATTAGATTACGGCAAAGCACTCGAGGGCTATCTGCCTTAAGGGAGGGATGCCTTCGTGGAGGACGTTTTGAGGGAACTGGCTCGTATACACGTTACACATGAGGAAAACCACGAAAACAACCATGCAGCCAGCTCATTCGCGGTATTCGAACCTCGGACCGAACTACCAGTGGTCAGCGACGTTACCGCTCGGCCGCTGGTGGGCCTAAAGAAAAAGGAGTAGTATATATCCCAATCACGAAACTGGGTTAATTAATATAAAAATACGATTATAATATAAGAAATGTATATATTTTAATTCCTGAAACTCTTAAAGCATATTTTTTTATTCTATGCGGAAATTTGCTAGTAGTTTACCACTGCCGCTAAAACAGTATTCCAGTATTGAAATTATAAATTTGTGGTGGTTTATATTTTATTTAAAATTTTTATTAGATATTTTTCTTTTGGATATTCTCATATACTCAAATAATGTTACTATTAATTTTAATCGTGCATCATTTTTTGCAACTTCTTCCAGAAGGATGTTTCAAATGTTTGAGAGTTATAATGCATCATAATAAAAATGAATGTTCAATGCAGTTTAAATTGCTAATTCATATCATTCCCTTTCTTAAATGCTTAAAATGGACGGAAATGTCATTATAAATTAAAATTAAGTTGGTATTTAAAAAAGTTGAAGATATTAGAAAAGGTGATTGTTGAATTATATTCTCCACATCAAAAAAACAATATTGCTGTTGAAAAGGGTGCGTACAAAAAAAAATAAGACATTTCTGATTTTTACGAGAAGAAGTCATTCATCCACGGTTAGAAAAGCAGGGGGGCAATAACAAGAGACTTCTTGGCTGAGAGCTCGGCAATTAATTTCTTTGAATTTGAGGAAGCGCCTACAAAAGGCAGATTGATTGAAATCCCAAAACACTAATATTTTCGTCTCAAGCTCAGTTTTCGAAAATGAATTAGCTAGTAGATGAGGCTATAAAGTATGCTCTTTCTTCTGTCCACATGCCTTTCTGATGTAACTGGAAGAACACTCGACCCGCATTCCGGAGGTTCGGAGTTCGAAACCTGGCTAGGACCGTGTGGATCTCTTTAGTTTTATACCATCGGAAAAAATTCTACAAGACTTTCTAAAGTTCTCATATTTTTTCTCACGCCTAAAGCAAATAAACGTACCTTCATTTAGAAACTCTCTATGAAGATATTTCTTCCTTTACAAGTTTCAGCTTTTCAAGTATTATAGTGATAAATTAATTAAACTTCGAAAATAAAACTATTGTTCTATTCCCTTTTAATAGTCTGAATTTAAGTTTTTGTTTCTTCTATTAGTTTTAATAAAAAGCATTGGTTTTTGGACTCATCGGTTCAACCTGAAGAAGCTGGAATATAAAATTCGTAAAGACTTAAATTCCTTAACTCAATTTAAAGCTTTGTTGCTTTGCTCAAGTTACACTTACTTTAGTTTTTAGAAAACTAGAATTTTAACTTTTAGTAAACTTTTTTAAATACAAGCTTAGCGTCAATTTTTCAACTAAGAAAATAAATATTTTACTCGGTAGGCAGTAAGCTAGTCACTTCGTAAATATACGGTCAGTTAAATACTGAAAATTACGAAACAGCTGACATTTAAGAACTTCATTTTTACATATTTAGAGGAAGAGATTCATGATGTTATTAGTCATCATACTAAATGAATGGATCTCTGTTTAAAAAGGGAAAGTCACAAGGAATAATATGAATACTAAAGCCAATAATATAAGGAAGTTATGCATAAATACTGTTCTTACAAAAATATCGTATTTGTCGATTTTCACCAGAAACTACTACTACGCACTATTTTTCCCGAAGACACTACGTGTTCTTGAACGCTGTAATTTGTTAAGACATTAGCGATTACTCATAATAAAAAGTCATTCAAAGGATTCCGAAAGGAGAGTTAGAACAACTGGATGCAATCTTCAAATTTTGATATAAGCCCAACAAGCAGAATTTCAAAAAAGTATGCGAATATGTAGAAAGCATTACTGGATTCATTAGAAATGTGATTCTGTCATAAAATCATTTAAGAAGTGACGATTTAATTACTGACGCTAGTAATGTTCTTGAGCATCTGAGAAAGATGAATTGTGTAAAGACAGCTGACAGCTCAATTTCTGTGATTTCAAGAAAATGGCTGTCTACAGTTTTACTTGAACATGCGTCGTTTTCTTATTTGTGTAAAAGCAACAACGTTTTCTATTTCTAACTTAATAGATAGGAAATTTCGCTAGGATTGAGGATTCGATAGGTTAACTTTCCAAGTTAAAAAAAAAAAAAAAGCAGTTTTGAAATTTTATAGATGCACAGTATTACATATGTTTTGATATATAATTGGAATAAATAAACGATTATAAACTCACCACTACTGCAGTCACTAGTGCCATGAATCTCAAGAGCATGGTACACCTGGAAGAAATAAAATATCAATAAAATAATGCTGACATACCTTCAAGCCACAGAATCTCATTTTCATTTGCATCAATTTGCTTATATATACATATTTAATTCTAAAAACGGTCAGCGGCATTACTAAGACGAATGATAACTCTATGCGGGCACGAGTGGTATCATCTCAGATAAACTTATAATTAAGCATTTCAATTAATAATTGTGAAAAGAAACTGTCTAAGTTTCTCGAGTCTCAATAAACCCTCGCCAAAGCAACGAGAATCGATCAAAGCCTGTTCATTGATACTTCTCAAATTATAAACGAACAAAAATACAAACAGACTTTGCTATAACTATACAGATATTGTATGCATAAAAGCAGTATTATTATAAAACGACAAACATTTACTCTACACGTTAAAATTTACAACTATACACAGGGTGATTATAAATTGTTTTTACAAATTAAGACGGGTGATAGTATACATCCAGATGAGCAATAATTACCATAGAACACAGAGTCGCATTCCACTCAGAGAGGCAGCACAAGTACCCATTCTGTTCCATTTAAGACTAAATAAAAAGCTTATTTTAACTTTCAGTATTTTGTGAGTTGTTTAAGACGTAGCGATAACTAGATGGTAGTCTAGTTTAGGTTATGCAAGATTTTAATTATAGCTTCCAGTTACAACAGAAACACTACATTTAGCTTCCAACATGATCATGAACTATGTTGTAATTTAGCCTCTCTTTTAACCTTCCCCTCGCCCAAGATTCCAAGTATCTACAGCACTATTAAATCCGAGGGAAGGCTTTGGCTTCATTATCTAAACTGTGCGTGCCCCGATGAAACCATACAGTAGTTTCGAAGACAGAAATTCAGTGTTGACCTTTTTAGAAAATTTAGGAACAGTGTTTTTACTATACTGTGTTGAAAAGTTGCAAAAGGTGGTCATAGAAACCGTTGCGCTGCAAGGTCAAGATAAATATTTATTAGGTATAATCGGTGGGAGGGAGATTAATATATAATAATATATATATATATATATATAGTATATATATATAAATATATAATATATCAAGCAAGGTAGTAATTACAATTTTGAAAAACTAATTTTGGTCTAGAAAACATCTTGCGCAATATGCTGCAAAATAAGTAAAATATAAAAAAAAATGGTTTGATTTTCATATGTATTAATTTTTTTTAAAAACGTGTTGAACTTTTTGGAGCAGCAGTTTTTTGGTAACTTTTAGGCGAGCTTACTACATTTTTTTATAAATATAAATATATATATATATATAAATATATATATATAATATATATATATATATAAATATATAATATATATATAATATATATATTAGGTTAATATATTGTATATATATAAATTAACTGATAAAAATATTTATTAGGTTAAGCATGAAGTAAAAATGGTAAGTTCAAGTATTTAAAACTACTCTTTTGAAAGTATTCCCGAATGTGGAAAGACAGCGAAATTAGAACAGGAACTCTATAAATATCAGACTAAGGTGGATGGGTTAACAGATTTTATTCCGTGCAGGTGGTAAATTTATTATATGGGAAAAAACACGATGCTGAAATTATTCAATTGATTACCGCATATTCAAGATTAACTAAAAAAACTAAAAATTGATACCGGAATTAGCGGGCGTTAACAGTACGCGAAATTTGGACCGCTAAAAATTTGGAAGATGATTTAAAAAAAAAAAAAAAAAAAAAAAAAAAAAAAAAAAAAAAAAAAAAAAAAAAAAAAGGCATAAGAAATACGCAAAAAAAAATGCACATTAATTAAATTTCCCAATTCAATGCTATGCATCTCGATTTTTGGCAGCAAAAATTCATAAAATTTAGGAGATTTATTATTATAAGCGAGAAAAAGTATTGAGGCACAGAAAAGCACTGGTGGGAGAATGACTTCCAATGTGCAAGTTAAAAATAAGCACCAGAAGGTAGGGTGTGTGTGTGTTTATGATAAAGGACTTACAGGTAAACGTAATAGTAAGTTCGGATTTTTAAAAATCTGCTGGTGCGAAAAGTAACTTTCAGGAAGATATGAAGCAGCTGGATATAAACAACCTGGTTATAAAAGAAATAGACCATCAGTCTTAGACCTGAAGGAACTGCATCTGGGAGAGAAAAACGAAATTAGAATAATTGATAAGAAATTTTTAGATGTAATAAATCACTCAACTGAAACAGAAAATAACCTCTTTTTTAACCCATTAGCCGCTGGTGTTGCGTTGACGCAACGGTTAAAATAAATGCGTATATAAATATAACTACCTATGATATTTTATACCAGCAGATGATTTTGTGTAGGGAATATTATGAAGATTATTTCTGTAAAAAAATATTTGCCTTCAACAATCATTTTGTTTATAATAATTAATCTCATACTTTAAGCAAAACTTTCGACCGGGTATTTTTGCTGAAAATATTTAACGAAAGAATCGCCGTCTTTATGAGTGATCTATTTGTAGTCTATGTCACCGTTTATCAGAACATTACATCAGTCAGATGTTTATATTTGTGTTGGGAAGGAAGGGAAAACAGGTGTTGAGTTGACGCAACGTCAGCAGGAAACGGGTAGTCAATCTCCTTTTTCACTCATTCCTTTCGATGTTCTGGTTCATGTTCTGGTTGTTTAAAAATGCCTAGAACGAGGTATTTTACATTAGAAGAAGCCCTTCAAAGATTTTTTGATGAAGAAACAGATGATGATAATGTTAATAATGACCAGAATGAAACTGATATTGTTGTTGTTCCCCCAGAAATTGCAGAGGCTAGTGACGAAGAAGAAAGGAATGGCAATGTTTTAAATAATGATAATGATATTTTACCAAATGATACTGCTGGGGAAGTTGAAATTCGCGTAAGAAGTAAGTTTCAGCCTTCTAAAAGCAGTTATAGTCATACTAAAAAGTTTAAAAAGCAGAAGACTGAAATTTTGAAGTGGATAAAAAGGAACTGTTAGTTATGTCTCAGGAAGAACATGAAGAAAGAGATAGAAGAGAAATTATAAAAGACAAAACACAAGGTAAAACTAGTGGACAGATTTTCGATTTTCTTTTTGGTTTAGACATGTACTCTCTTCTCGTTGAACAGACAAATATATACGCTCAGCAAAAAAGAAAAAAAATGCCCAGAATTTATTGCATCTGAGGCCTTATGAGAAGATTTATTGGAATATTATTGCTTACAGGATATCATTCTTTACCTCAAGAAAAAATGTATTGGTCTTTTGATAAGGACATTTCTGTTCCTGTTGTACGAGAATTGATATCACGTTTGCAGTACAGGAATATGAAGCAGAATTTGCATTTGACAATAGTCAAATTGACAATACTGATAAATTATATGAGGTGAGACCGTATCTAAACTTACTAAATATCACCACTTTTTACTATTGGAAATATAAAGTCTCTTTTAGATTTCAGACGCGAGAATACATTATTCCGTTTGCAAAATCCTATTGAGAGTGTAGAATTAGCCAGAAATAGATCAGCAACAGGAAGACCTAGTAAATTCAGCATTCAAAAACCTTTGCATGGAGATAGTAGACATTTTATCGTAAAGTAGGTTGATAACAAAAGCGTTGTAAAGAGTACCATAGCCAGACTGTTTATAGATGCAAAGTATGTAATGTAGCTTTACATCATAATTGTAATCAAGCTTTTTATGCTCGAATCTTACAAATGAAATAATTTGTATTTGTAAAAGAAATACAATGTATATTTTAATATTAAATTAATTACAAGTAAAGTGATTTGTAGATTTATAAAACATTATACAGCTAAAAAGTAATCCTGCGCTCCACTCAAAAGAAACATCACACGAGTACAATCCTACTCACTAAACATCCGTAGTCTTATTCCGCTGACGTTACGCGAACGCAGCACTCGCTTTTTCCACAGGTAAGAGCATTTTGTTTTTATTTTCAATGTAATTTTATGTTATAAATCTTAATTTAATATTTGTTATTATTTTCATGAGAAAAGAAACATTCCTTGTAGTTTTGGCGGTTAATGGGTTAAAGCAAACCTCTACCACTAAGTCAAAGTTAAAGACGAAGTTATAGAAACGCATGTTGCGGACAAGCTGAAAAACAAAATTTTAATCCCCATAAGTGCTCCCCAAGTAAGTCCTGTACTATACTGTTTATCATAAATTAAGGAAAAATCACAAAAATAGTGATAACTCCCTCAAAAATAAGACAAACCGTGTAAAATTTTAATATGTTGCCAAGTAAGAGTAGCTGAGTAAAACTCCAATATGTAAATTAGTGGCGCTGCACACGGAATACGTCATCTGCGAAGAGCATAAAAGTCCATGTTTGAGAACAAGCCCACATATTTAACTGTGATAGTGACATCAGAAATCTGAGACAGCCTATTCGTAACAATGGTCTCCAGGCATCATTTGCCTGCAGAACTACGACAGAAAGCCATTAGGAGACTAGAGGTAGGACAAAGTCAAACAGAAGTGGCCAGATGGCTAAATGGGAGTCCTTCTGTGGTTCATAGACTTTGGAGGCAATTTCAAATCACAGATTCGGCACCTAGGAGGTTCAGCCAAGGACGGCCAACTGCTACGACGAGCGCCGATCACCGAAATTTGACATTATGTGCATTTAGAAATAGAACCGCTACTCCGACTCTTCTTAGATTCTCCCTTGCTGCAGCCATCGGAAGGTTGGTGTCAACGTCAACTGTGCGTAGAAGGCTTCACGAAGCTGGTCTGTATGCGAGGCGAACAATTATTTGCGTGCCGCTCAAGTCACGCCATAGTAGGGACAGTTTACAGTGGGCACGACAACATGTCCACTGGACGCCTGAGCAAGAGGGCTATTCTCTTTACGGATGAGTCCAGGTTTAGTCTAGAACGCGATAGTAGGCGTTATTTGATATGGAGAGAACTTGGAACCCGTTATCATCCGTCAAACATCCGTGAAAGAGATGTATACGGAAGAGGCAGTGTCTGTGTTTGGGGTGGCATC